CTAGGCCGACACTTCTCCCCGCGCGCTTACATTCGCCAGTAGGTTGGGCTAATACGGCGATTTTTAAAATTTCGTATCTCGATAACTATTCGTCCAAGCGCAAAATAGTACAATACTTTTCTGTTTGTCTTAGTCCCCTCTACCTTCCCATGACCGGACGTCAAAGTCTTGCGTAGCACCCTGTATATATGTGTTTATTATTTAAAAACTTAAAGTTAATATTAAAGTGCTCATTCTATGTGTGATATACTTATCGAAATATACGCATATTTGTTAAGAAAATTCAAGAAACTTGAAGGAAACGTCTTTAATTGTGTGTGACAAAAAATTCTTAGATGTTACAAAAGCGATTTACATTCTCATTATATTCCACTAAGCACGAAGAGTATACACACCTAATACAAGAGACTATACAAATCTATCTGGAATCATCAGTTGCGTTCCTCGAATTATATACACTCGTTGTCAGTAAGTTCTGCAACGTTACTTGAGATTTTCGCCCTTCCATACAACTTGTTTTTGGTTTTTGCAAAATTAGGTTTTCATTTAAGATCAATATAACTCTATACAGATTCTTGTTTTTAAACATTTTTACTGTCGACAATCTCATTTGGAAAGCATGTTTTAATATTTTGTCGCGCCAGTACCGGTCCGTGACGTTACTGGAATGTGATGGTCCATATATCGCACAGTCGGAATCAACCTTGTTGTTAACCTTGTAGATATTTTAGAACGTTCACCATTGATTTTTGTAGTTTAAAGAAACTGACATCTCTGCATTGGAATAGTCACCAAACAGTGACGTAAGTACATACACGGGAAAATATTTTTCGTGCATAAGTATACATGAATATATAGTATTATATGTATAATATTATATAATAAAAAATATATAGTATATATGTATGTACATATTTGATGTATAATCTCATGTAAGTAGCGTTTTCGTTGTATTTGAGTTAAATTTTTCAAGGTTGCCAAAAACTTTTAGTGGAGTAATAAAGACAATGATAAAAGTGTTACATATTGCAGAATTAGGTTTTCTTTTGTTAATAACTCTATACAGATTTCTTGTTTTTTTACAAATTTATTTTTTGAATGTTGAGTACTGCAATTTCTAGTTCCGTTACTGTATGAATTAAAGTTGATTCAGACTAGGGTTGCAACGAAAGCGAGACTTTCGCATCATTTTAGACTCTTGCTTTCGCTTTCGCTTTCGCAACTAATTATGCGAAAGTTTTAGCGAAAGATTTTGTCCGGCCCGCACGTAAAACTCTAACCTAACCTACAATATTTTAGAGCTTTATTTTATTCTGAAATGATAGAAAATGTTTATTTTGTTTTATTAGAAAGTGATATCTCCGTTCCTGTTCTATGTTACATTGCAATAATGTATTTTATACGATTATAAATAAAATAAATAAGTTACTAATTTACTAATTTGCATTTCTCATTCAATAATTTGAATTAGAAATATTTTTTAATTATTATTAGATTATTAATTACATAACATTTTTCCTAACTGTCAATTATATCATTCAGTAGAAAGAAACAAGATCTTTCGCATTCGCATTCGCTTTCGCTTTCGCTTTCGTAAAAAGATATGTTTTCTTTCGCTTTTGCATTCGCTTTCGTTATAACCACTTTCGTTACAACCCTAATTCAGACTACACGACACAGACCGACACTAGCACCAAAAAATATTGAACATGCGTTTTAAATGAGACTGTCTACACTAACCGACACCACTGTTTCATTGACGGAACGTGCGGTTACTGTATAAGACAGTCTCATTTAACACCCAAGTTTTAATACTTTCTTGTGATCGCTGTCGGTCCATGTGGTACTGTCTGAGCTCACCTTTATAAAAGTATGACTATAGTTTCCAAGGTTGTCAAGATCAATCTTGTTAATAACTGCTTATTTTTTACAACTGTAGTCATTATCGTCTAAATAAAATAACACCTCTGCAGTAGAATAGTCAAACAATAGTGATGCAAGTATCCCGTAAAAAATTTTTCCTGCGTAAGCATGCTTAAATATACATATACTATTATATAAGATTGTACATGGGGTTGTACACATAAGCTAATTTAACATTTATATTGGCAAATTTGATGTTCCTAGCTTTTTAGCAATTCTATGTTTATTAACGTTTTAAATTATAAAGAGACTAGAGTCTCTCTCTATTTAATTTACATTTAATTTCCTCGATTAAATTTATTTCATAGATTTATTTTGATTAGTATTATAGTTTTGTATTAGTTCCAACATACGGTAGTACAAAAGAGTTTTTACATCAACTCCGAACGTATAATCGAAGTGATTGAAGAGTTCGTATGGAACTTTCTCAGTTAGAAGAACGTTTGGTAAGCGTTTGCTAAGTTCTAGCAAGTTCTGAAAATCAGAAATATAAAAAGAAGATTAGTTAGTAACGAGATGATTAAAAAATGTAAAATAGAAAATATATCATTCAATTAATATCAATCAATGACGTTTTTTCTTTTACATTTTGCATGGAAATTTAATTAGATTCTTTCATATTTACATGATCACTATTTTGTCAGATTTGTGCAAAAATTTTTCTTCTACATTTATTTATGAGTAAAAATTAAGTAAGAATTAATAATTTGACCGCTACATGGAGAAGTGTTACCTACCTCTTTGGGAACAAGCATATCATTTTCTGAGTAAAATAATATTATTGGAGCAGTAATGTTGTTGAGATCATAATTTGGGGGTATTTTCTGTTTGTATCGCTTATAATTTTCAGCCACGCCATAATCATACATTCGAAATTCATCTGCAACAATCAATAAAAATCGTATATCTATAAGTACATGTCCAAAACTTAAAAGTTGTTTGAAAATATTTGAAAAGATATTAAATAATTACATGCATAAAATTATAAATTCATCTGTAGAAACTTATAAATTAATTTTGATCTTTCAAAGATATTTTAAACAACATGAATAAATGTTTCATTGTAATATAACATCAACTAGAATATTGCTTTATGAAACAATACTGTTTTACGAAATAAAATACTCACTTATACGTATATTTTGACAAAAATGCCCTACTGTTTGTACAGAGGCACCGGATATTAAATAGGATATTATATCTGGCAAGGTTGTCTATAACAAAAATAATCTATATAAATAAAAAGTCATAGCACGACCAATTAGAAGAACAGAATGAGGAGTGGTTAGAGTAACAATAAATTTATATAATTGTTAAAAAAATTAAAAATTTAAAGATGATACAATATAAAATAAAGTGTTCACGTGCATTATAAACATTGTGTTATCTTTATCTCTTATGCGTCATGATATGACTTACAGTGTTAAGTTGTACTGGATCAGAACCGCCAATTAAGAATAGTGCAGTGATACAAATACTTTGAGTTATTGCATTGTCATTACATAACAATCGTGCTGTCGTAACAGTCGCTAGAGATTGGGGTAAAATATCGTATATTTCATGTTTCTGTAGAACTTCCTGGAAAGTGCAAAATAAACATACAATTATTACTTAATAATAGCTATTATTACTTAATAATAGCTGACAATATTTTTAGCACTGTGCTGGTTCCTCCAACTTCTTAATAAGTTAACTATGTGTCTATCTTTGTCTGATTTAAAGGAAAATCAAAGATGTAGGTACATATGATTTAACTATTAGTTAATTTCCCAAGAGATTGGAATGACTGGCCCTAAATAATAAAGAAAATGACATAATATTATCTGGTATTTTAAACACCAGCACTTGCAATAAAAAGTGACAGATTTTGGCAGTTACCTTTAATGTTGAAAAAATGTTTATAAATTCGTTAACGAAAGGTGATATTCTCGTCCACAAAACGCCTGGAGCCAGACAAATAGCCATTTTTATTTTCATATTGTACTCCGGTTTTGATGACAAGAGAACGTGTAAAAGAGTTCCTCCCATTGAATGACCAATATAGTATAAATCTTTTTGCTTTGTATGATTTAGTATGTAATTAAACATGGCCGGCAGATCTTTTGTTCCAATCTCGTGGAAGCTATAAAATAAGATCACACCTATTATAAGTCTATTACCCCAATAGGAAAAATAATATTTGTAAAGTCCCTGTTTATTAATTTAAAAAACATTTATTTCCACACTTAATGTTTGAAAACATGTTTATTAGTACTTAATAAATGTTTATTTATGATTTAAAAAAATATTTGTTATAAAAACGTGTAAAATAATATTCTTGTCTATGAGTGCAAAAGTAAAGAGAAGTTCTAAAAATCTTCTTGGTACATTCTATGTACGAAAAATTATGTATTCTGGGACTCAAACACCAGAGAAAAATAAAAAATTAGATGCAGAAGCAACATTGTATAATATTGCTGTCCTCGCCTGTATAATTTGGAAATATCTAAAATACGCGATTCTTCTCTACAACTAATGTAATATCAACGTGCGAACGATGACGATAGGGATTATTCTTACATGTCATTGTACTCCATTGAAATTAATTAATTTCAATTCGATCCGCAGACAGATCTTGATGATGCTTTGATATTTCCGTGGTAAGAATAGGGCCCGACTAATTAAAAAATCTTTAGGTAGTAGAAGAGTATGCTTAAAGTCACCAGTGATAAATAAATTAGGAATAAAACTTCTTATTGATCTAACTGGCAATATATTAGTCAAGTGATTACATTAGTTACGACGTTTCGACCCAAGTATCGGGTCCTTATCAATCGCACTCGTGTATAAGTGTTCTTGGAGCATAAATTCTAGCAGACTCTCAGGTCGTTGTCGATGCAAGGAGCTCTCCGAAGGTTATAACACGCGAATGTGCTCGCTTAGTATGAATAATTTTTCTGACAACTCCTTGCATCGACAACGACCTGAGAGTCTGCTAGAATTTATGCTCCAAGAACAAGCTTATACACGAGTGCGATTGCGTGACAAGGACCTGATACTTGGGTCGAAACGTCGTAAAATGTAATCACCTGACTAATACAATTGCCAGTTAGATCAACAAGAAGTTTTATTCCTAAAAAATCTTTATTGTTCAAAACTTGGAAATATAACCAGGACAATATGTGGTATTTGCAGTCCAAAAGTGAAAGAAACTAAAAACTCTTTAGATATATATCTTTAAGAAAATGCAACTTTCAATCAGTTTTTCCAAAAAAGCCAGATTATTGGCGTTTCTTTCACTTCCACAATGAATTATCGTTCTTTTGACTTAATTTATGTCAACTACGTTTACATGAATGTCTCAGCTGAGCCCAGATAACAGTTCTTGCGCGCAAATTTTGCTTGTTTTATGCATGCAAATTTGTATGAGATTTGCCTAAGTTTTGTCCGTAAGATATGTTTAGTCTGTGCTTTTGCACGCAAGTAGCTAGCTCATGTATTAACGTATAATTTTGCGCACAAATATCTTATCAACTCACATACAAAAATGGCTCAACAACGCAAGCAAAATTCTATCCAAGTGCGTCGTCATAATGCCAGACGTTTGCGCGCAAAATGTTTTCTGGGAGGCTACGGTTTTTTAAAGTGAGCAGGGGATAATAATGGAGAACGGGATCGCGAAACGCGAGAAGGGAGATGACCGACATACTGGCATGAAACGAACGAGGAGGGAAATGGAAAGAGAAAGAGAGAAGGCAAATCGATGACCGTTATACGCCACATCTACGGGACTGAAGAGCCCGGAAACCATAGTCGATGATACATTAGCCTTGATGAGACATCCACACTTGACTACGTGCACGTAATCGAGAGTCGAAGAGTCGAGCTGTAGCAAGATCATGGTCAGTATCACTCTACTCTTTATCCAGTAACAATTGTTTGGATCATCGTTCTGGCTTCGCCTTTATCGCGATCGATTACAAGATTTCGTACTTTTCGATCAAGAAACTTCAATTGGATATCCAGATACGCGACGGAATATAATATGCAACGGAAGAGTTCCGTGTTTTTCACTCGTCCAAGTTCTTTGCTGAATGTGTTTAGAGTGCGACAAGCGCAATATTTCCTTTGGTGTCATTGAACCTGCAACGCATTGACAACGCACGAAAGTAAATTGACTTTGAATAGAATCTGAATAAGATTCGAAAAAAGGTTTGAGGCAAATCGTTGTATGGACGACTTCTTTTGTCGTCATCGAGTCACAGTCATCAAGAGTATATTTAGGTCACTGAAGTTTAACCATGATCCAGACAACTCGCTGTCGGATCATATTATATCGGCCAGCCTCTTATACTAGATGATTTTTACTTAGGAGAAGGACTAATGTGCGGTCGCCACGTCGCGGCAGTGAGTGATACTGGTACTAACTCCCTGGAAGTTAGTAAGCTTCTCGAGAGCTCAGCGCAATGAACTCCCTGAAAGCTTATTTGTCAAATTTTATAAGCTTTCCAGGAGCTCAGCAAAATAAACTTCCTAGAAGCTTAATTGTTTTTGAAACAAGTAACAATGGCTATGAGAAATCAAATAAATGAAATAAAGGGCTCAGAGCCAGAACAGGATAGTAGTGTTAAAAAAACATTTAATTATAAATGGATATAGACGTTTCGGCCCTTATTGGATCTTCAGTACATCATCTTCAGTATAATAAAAAAGAACACAATTTAAAACATTATTAAGTTAGGAATATAAATTAAAATGTAAAACAACATATACGCAGTCGGTCCGATAAGATTCTAATAAATAAAAAGACAGAACATAATTAAAAGATAGCGCAGTCAAACAAATTAAAAGTGTAATATACAATAAAACGCAGGTGTATAAAGTAAAAACGCAAATAAATTAAACGCATTAAGTTGACAGAAAATACTGTAACAAACAAAAGAAAACCTAGTGAATTGATAAATTAGTGCCTCGAAGTAGGAAGAAAGAAAGGTATGTGCTTACCTATAGCCATGTTGGACTGTGTAGGTGAAGAGAAGTAATGACGATAATTTCCTATATTGAATTCTCTCTCTACCTCACAATAATCTTGTCACCCCCTCCTCTTTCTCCCTATGTTTACCCCTTCCTCTACCGACTTATTTTTATACTCGACATTTAATTGTTCGTTACCCGTCATTATTTCTCTTCACCTACACAGTCCAACATGGCTATAGGTAAGCACATATATGTTATTAAAAACACTACTATCCTGTTCTGGCTCTGAGCCCTTTATTTCATTTACTTACTTGTTTTGTCAAATTGTGTGAGTTTCCCGGGAGCTCAGCGAAACGAATTCCTTGGAAGCTTGTTTTGTCGAATTTTGTAAGCTCCCCAGGAGCTCAGCGAAATGAATTCCGTAGGAGCTTAATCGGAGCTTTGTGCTGTGTGGGAATTATCCATCTGTTCAGTCGTACAATAATAAGATAAATATGTAATATACATATAGTGATATATTAGTGCATTTGAATTCACACATGTGTTTCACAAATTACAAATTCCAGTTGTTGACTGCAAGGCGGGAAAATATTAAAAAATGAGTATCGAAAACTTTCTGGCACAAGGTTTGACTTCAGCATCCGCGAGCGGACTTTCGTTATTCTTTCCGTTTCTCGCTGCGACGATTGCCTATCTTCATTACGAAGCGCTGGATGATGAAGAGCCGCCGATCAACGTACCATCAGAAATGCTATTACCCTCCTATGATTTTGTGATAATAGGTAGTGGTAGTGCCGGTATGTAAATGTTGCGTAGAAACGTAGAAAATTCTCGTTATTTTGTTATTACTTAATAACAAATACGATAATATGCCAACGCAAATATCTCTTCTCATTTCTTCCTTTTTCTTTTTCTTATTAGGAGCCGTAGTTGCCAGTCGTCTATCCGAGATCGAGGACTGGAACGTATTATTGCTGGAAGCAGGCGGTGGCGAAACCGAGATGTCGGACGTACCTCTATTTGCTGGTTATTTGCAACTAAGCCAACTCGATTGGCAATATAAGACCGAGCCGCAGGGTGATGCCTGCCTAGGTACATATTATATCAAATCACTTTTCCGTTCTCTCTTCTGCCCTCGTCGTTTCTCTCCGTTCATTCTTTTTAAACGTTTACAGCGATGGAGAACAACCGCTGCAATTGGCCGAGGGGCAAGGTGCTGGGCGGCAGCAGCGTGCTCAACTACATGCTGTATCTAAGAGGTAATAGTCGCGATTACGATATCTGGGAGCAGCAAGGGAACCCTGGCTGGGGCTCGCGCGACGTCTTGCATTACTTTAAAAAATCAGAGGACAATCGGAACCCTTACTTGGTTCGCACGCCGTATCATTCCAGCGGTGGATATTTAACGGTGCAAGAGGCACCGTGGCATACACCGCTAGCGGCGGCCTTCGTCCAGGCTGGTCACGAGATGGGCTACCAGATTCGCGACATCAACGGCCAATTTCAAACGGGCTTCATGATCGCCCAGGGCACCATCAGGCGCGGCAGTCGTTGCTCAAGTGCAAAGGCTTTTTTGAGACCCGCCAGACTCAGGAAGAATCTGCACGTGGCGATGCACGCGCACGCCACCAAGGTGCTGATACAACCCAAAACCAAGCATACCTACGGGGTGGAGTTCGTCAGAGACGGCAAGGTCTTTCATATACGTGCAAAGCGGGAAGTAATTGTGTCCGGGGGCACGATAAATTCCGCTGCGCTATTGATGTTGTCGGGGATCGGGCCGAAGGAACATTTGCGAGAGCTCGGGATTCCCACGATTCAAGACAGTAGGGTTAGTATACTTTAGGTTTAGGGCTCTCTCCTACGCCCGCCTTTATCATTGTATCTTATTAGAATAAAATATACGTTCCACCTTACTATACGAAATATACGACCTTGTGTCTCCAGGTGGGTTACAATTTGCAAGACCACGTCGGGCTTGGGGGTTTGACGTTCATGGTTAACAAAGAGATTTCGATGGTGGAGAAGCGGCAGCAAAATGTCCAGGCGATAATGCAGTACGCTGCGCTGGGTGACGGGCCGCTAACGGTGCTAGGAGGCGTCGAGGGGATCGCCTTCGTCAACACCAAATACGCGAACGCTTCGCTCGACTTCCCCGACATCGAGCTACACTTCGTTTCCGGCTCGACCAATTCAGACGGAGGAACGCAGATAAGAAAAGCGCACGGACTAACGAAGCAGTTCTACGACGCCGTTTTTAAGCCGATCGACAACAAGGACACGTGGAGCGTGATCCCCATGTTGCTGCGACCAAAGAGTCGCGGCGTAATCAAGCTGCGCAGCAAAAACCCGTACGATTACCCTCTCATCTATCCAAATTACTTCAAGGAACCCGAGGACATCGCCACGTTGGTCGAGGGTGTCAAGATCAGCGTGGCCCTGAGCAGAACTGAAGCCTTCAAGCAATTCGGGAGCGAGCTCAACTCGCAGCAGTTTCCTGGATGCGAGCACACACAGCTGTACACCGATTCTCACTGGGAATGCATGATTAGGCACTACAGTGCCACGATATATCACCCTGTGGGCACTTGTCGCATGGGCCCCTACTGGGACCCCGAGGCCGTCGTTGATCCGCAGCTCAGGGTCTACGGTGTGACTGGGCTTCGTGTGATCGATGCCTCAATTATGCCTAACCTGGTGAGCGGAAACACCAATGCTCCTACGATCATGATCGGTGAGAAAGGGTCTGATCTCATCAAAGAGTATTGGTTGAAGCAGAAGAGTAGATCCGAGCAGCAGCCTAGGTACAAACAATAAAACGCGCACGTCTTCGGATTACGGATGACGACAGGGTGACAGGGTGCGCGATGCATATGTATAATATAATATTATACACCGAGTACACTAGTGCCGTTGGCATAAGAGGCGTGGAAAACTTTGGAGAAGAAACTTTGGGACTTTACTACATTTCTTTATACGTACAAGCCATATTAGTGTAAGAATATAAATATACAATTCGAATCTGCATGCAAATGCAGTCATCGAGTTTACACATGTACAAAATATTTATTTGTATTAAAGTTGTTTGCATTATATATTTTTTTAATAAGTATTAAAAGTTTGTTTTGTTAATTTTTTTTTCTTTCTTTCTTTCGCTAAAATCTTATGCTCAATTGTTTGGATATAACATTTTAATATCAAAAATAATAAAGTATCTATCTAGTTTGTATAAATATCTAGTTTGTATAAATATCCATTTTGGTTGGCACAATTTGATGGTATCATTACTTTTGTAGAGACAATAAAAATGTATTTCTTTTCTAACAAAATATATCCAAATAATTAAATTATATTATTCTTGATTGGATGGCGCTTATACTTGGCGTCTTTTTTTCACCTTTTTTTCAAAAAGGTTGTTTTTTAAGGTGATATCACAATTTTGTAGTAAATATTTCATAATATTTGTTACAACCCCAATTTTTAACAGCACATGATATTTCGCGTGCATCCATAGAATGTGATAATACTCGTATTTAAGGGTAATTTGTAATGTGACGATAAATCATCTTTAAGAATGACTACAAAAACGCACTATTAAACAATTATTGGAGAGATTATACAGCCTGTGACCATCTTTTCCGTAGGGCCATCATACCCGGGTTTACCTTAAGCCTGCTGCAGACGATGCTATTTTTTCTGCTGGATTGCTTGCAATCTAATAAATTACTATCGTTGCACCATTCAGCACTCAGGATTCCTAGTAATTTAGTAAATCGCAAGCAATCCAGCAGGAAAAATAGCATCGTCTGCAGCGGGCTTTAATCTAATTCCTTGCAATATTACGTGATACATCACAGTAATATTATTGCGATTATTACAGTAATATTACTACGATTATCTCGGTAATATTTCATTGGGCGGACATTTTAATATTATTGTGATATATCAGTATTATTACAGTAATATTTCCAATATATTTTATTGTAATATTACATTGGAAATGTAATATTACTGTGATATTGCGTGCTATGTGGGGAGGTATATGTGATTTCTTAAATTTCTTAAATAAAATTTTAACTCGCGAAATCCAATTTTAAGAATTGCCTGCGCACTCGACGATGTAAATCTTGCTAATGGAGAATGGAAAGGTATGAAAGATTAATTTATAATCTTGCTAATAGAAATTTAGAAAAAATTATTATGCAAACTTTAATGTTTACAAAATATGTTGTGAGTAACCTTTTTACATTTTTATACATGTATGATTTACACCTTTACTCATACTCCTTAAAAAATTTTTAATTTTGTATTTATGTTACTTATTGAGTAATAAATATGTATATCTCTACTGCACAAATAACTATTGCTTTATCGTGTTGCTTCACATAATAGATATCTCTTACTTGTCAGGTAGATTGTACTTTCGTTGTAAAATGGATTTTTAAACTTAAGGTTCTATGGTCTGTTAAAATTATTTTTAATAATAATGGTTTT